TTATTCTTTCTTTAGCGGGCAACACGCTCATAATTATCAATTTCGTGCTATATTTCAACGGGCAACACGCTCATAATTATCAATTTTGTGCTATGTTTCCATGGTCATCATGCGTTTCTTCTTCTCACCACCATCCTTACCACTCACTCACTTAGGACTCATCACTATTATGAAAAATAATCCACAAAATAGAGAGAAAATCACGTAAATAACGCAAACACAAAACGGATGACTAGAAAATCATGCGTACGGAAATCGACGAACACGTGAACGAGTGAGGCGGCGTGAGCTGCTCCGAGTGCTCGGCCACCTAGCGTCGGCGTCTGTAAGCATGCTTGTATCTCAAATCTTTATGTAAATAAATATCTATGTCACACACCTTTATCAGTGGTAAGGTCATAATCTAGGACATAAAAAACATCAGAAGAGTCTGACCTACTACACCAAAAAAAAAACCCAATGCAAACAGTACAATCAAATTTATGGTGTTCAACCGTCAGATGTAAACATAGCCATGCAAAAACTAGTTGGCTTGTTTTAACACTGTATGTTAGAATGATGGAACAAGACTTTCTTAATAAATGTATAGCAGATGGCGACATTAGTACAAAACACCTAAGGGCGAGAATGACGTGAACAAATAGAATATAATGTCATAGTGGTGTTAGCCATGAACCTGTCGTGGCCATGGTTGTTCCTAAGACAAAACATAATGATAAATCAAAATGTTCTTCAACCGCAAAAAATGGTTTGATTTATGATTTAATACTCTCTCTCTCTGTCCCACTCTTATTCTGTATCTCTCTCTCGTATGCGCTTTAGCGCTTCTCTACATTTGTTATAGTGCATTTTAGCCCAGTAGCATTGTTTTGTCATTCATTTCTGGAGCAGTCCTGGGAACAGAACGAGTATGATAATGGTGGGGAGAGAGAGAGAAGTGAAGAGCCCAGCTGTTTAATCTGTCCTCGCTCGCTAATGCAGAGCAGGCTTCAGCTGCTGTGAGGGAGGGAGACGTTCCTTTGGTTCACTCAGAATGACTTATTTCTCCAAGGATCCACATGCAGCGGATGACAACAAACAAGCAGGACACTGAAGAATTCATGATTTCCGACATAGCGGTGTGATGATGTAAAAGCTGTCCACAAAAGAATTTTATGGCATTCATTTTTCTGCCCCCATCCACACTCACCTACGTTTTATTCCCCCCTCGTCCCTTTGTTTTGTGTAAACACAAAAAATAGTGTGGTGATTTCCTGGCTGTGTTTTTGTGCAAGATGAATGGAACGACTTCTTCACAATGTTTGTTGCAAACAGAAAACACATTTGCATACTGTCCACATGCTCTTCTTCCCCAGGATTTAGTGCTCTACCCAGTAAGCACTTAGTAAGACTGGGAATGTGTGAAGTAATGGATGGCAGTGCCCACGTTACAAAGCAGAGTATTTATCTCTTTCATAATCGACCAGAAAACTCACCAGGTTTCCAGGCAGTGAAAAAAGAGGCTGAGGGGCAAAAAAGTAAGGCTGGACAAAAAATGGAGAGAATTAATGGGACAAGTAAAAGGAACTAAGGGGGGAAAGCAATTCAGTCCGGAGAAGAAGGAAGGAAAGGAGGAAAGAAGGAAAGTAAAAAGAAATGGATTTGCTGAAAGGAAAAAACCATGCAAGATTGGAAGTAAAAGGCTGGAACAATGAAGACGTAAGATGTAGTTTTAAGAAAAAAAAAGCAGGGAGAAGGAAATGCACTTGGGAAGGAGGGCAATAAAAAGGGTTGAACCAAAGGTGGATTCATGTTTGTTTGTTTTTTTGTTTGTTTGTTTTTTTTTGTTGTTGTTGTTGATGATTTAAAGGAATGATTAGATTAGATTAGATTAGATTAGATTAGATTAGATTAGGCTGGATATAAAAAGGGATTGATTTAATTGGTTTAGATTATAATAGATCAGGTTAGATTAGATTAGATTATAATATTAGAGGTTAGGTTAGATTAGATTAGATTAGATTTGGCGGGATAGAAAAGTGGATGGATTTGATTAGTTTAGATTAGATTAATCTAGATTAGATTGGGGCAGGTTAGGTTAGGTCAAATTATACTAGGACAGGTTAGATTAGATTATAATAGATTTGATTCGATTAGAATAGAATAAATCAAATTCAAATTGTTGTTGATAGTTAGATACTGTATTTGTGATTTGTTAGTCTTATTAGTACAATCTAATCTAGACAAAGGGGAGAAATTGAATAAAGTTAACAGTGCCAAGATGGAATAGACACAGATATTAGTCTATTTCCATTTTACAAACACAAGCAAGAAAAATTAGGGTCAAAACATAGGAGGCAGATCTAGGCGTGGAACTTGGTGAATAGAATAGAAACCAACCCATTTCTGAATGACTCGCTCATATTGTAAACACTTTGCTCTACTGCAGTTTAATTACCTGCTCTCTCCAGCCATCATATCCCTATATCCATACATATGCACATCTTCATACAATAGCAGCCCCTACACTCTGAAATGAGCTTGGTGGCTGTTAGTGTTTCGCTGTCTTCCACTTAGCAGAGAAGAGTCTTGCTAATCTTAAATAAAGCTTCAGACGCTTGTTTGTAATTAGTCAGGTTTAGGTGCTCCTTCCTCTCTAATTAGAACTGCCTCTTGGCTTCACTGGGTAGAAAATTGCCATATGTTACAGAACACCTATAAATGTTCACAATGTGTGTTTTTTTTTTAGTCATAGAAACATCAGGAAGAAAAAGTCGCTTCAGTTTCCTGATCACAGGTGACGCTAATTATGGCGTTGTTGTTTGTGATTTAAAGCCTTAGAGACGACAATTATGCTCAATTTCAAAGAAGCTAAATTCAAATTGGTAACTTGACGGCTTCATTTTCTGTCTGTTGATCCAGAAGTTTTTTATCTGGAGCGACAGAAAACTTAGGTGCAACATACTGTATAGAAGAGTGAATCATATGTGTGTTTACAATACACTGACATCACCCACGTATTGAACCACGTTCAACCTACACTGCCCTTCTGCGTCGTCTATCTGCTGATGTTCAATTCCGAGGTTGTTTTTTTTTCTTCTCCCTGCTTTTCTTCCTCAGTTCACTTCTCATTATCTTTTCCACTGTGGCCCACTACTCATGTACAGCCTACTGTGTATGCTCATATATTGTACATGCACACTGCTCTTTGAGCGTGAGCTATGTTTGTGCAGGCAGGCGTGGGTAGAGGGACCCCTGGGGAGTGGAAGTAGGTACTGCAAAATGGAGAGTGCTCTATATCACTGCAGCAGCAGAGAGCAGTGAGGGGAACAAAATCAAAGTAAACTAATTACAATGCAGGATTTTCTTCACAGCTCCTTGCTTTGCTGTTTAGTCTCTAACGCTTTCCTGAGTCTTTGACTTTTTTATTTTATGTCCGCAGCCATTTTAAGCCGATTAGATATGGATTTTCACCAGAAAACAGAGACAAAATTAAAATGTTTCTTTATGCTACCTTAGACTAAATAAGTCTTCTTACTATTTCTATAAAACATGACAAAGTTTTTTTTTTTTTTATTTATTTATGCCTTAAGAAAATGTGTTAGTTTTTTTGTACCAATAGGAAGTGTGTTAGCTTACAAATGATGATTTGGGATTTTAACTGATTAATACGGTTACATGTAAAAAACCTGCAACACGTACATCAAACGTGAGGCCCACGGGCCAAATTCAGCCCACCACCTCATTCATGTTGCCCACTAGAATACAACATGCATGTGGTGTTGTATAGAGTTCATACTCATTTTTACTGGATTGGTTAAATAGAGTTGTCAAATTCTGCATGCATCTGATATATACATAGCAATTTTTAAAATGTGCTTTAATGAGGCAAAGGTTGTTGTAGCCTGTTCAGATTCAATGTTTCTGGTGAAAGCATTCTCAGGACTAGACTTATGAAACTGTTAATGCAGTTTGGCTCCCGACATAGACTGTGTTTTCGGTCCATTGAGTGATTGAGTTTGACACTTGTGGAGATCCCACAGGCTGGTGTTTTTTTAATTATCTTGTAATATTTATGTGTGGGAACTACCTAAACTCTTGTTCAGGATGTCTTGGAATTCCACTGTTGGATGTAGACTGGGTGGTTGGTTGTGTTAAGCTTCATATTACTCTTCTACGCTGATGACACATTACACTTCATCAAACCCCCAGGCTGGCTACCAGGGGCCCTCAGCTGAAATCCAACTCCTTTGGCATGGCTTGAGATGAGCACAGCATGACCTAGTGGTTGATTGAAGTGAAGTGAGCCAAAATAGGTTTGCACAGTGGCAATGGAACTGCTCTGACTGGTTGATTAAGTGACGCTAATTGCTGAGTACCACAGAAAAGTATCCAATTAATTCACCAGGGAGGAAATAATCCTTGCAAAAACACAGGGTGGATTTTTTATTTTTTTCCACTTTGGTGAATGGGCAAAAAGTCAGATACAAATTGATGCATTGCTGCGCCACAGGCACGATGCCGCCCTGTTGTCAGATTTCGGAGGTGGTGATTTGCTCATCAGCAGCTCATTGTGTGCAGTGGAAATGAAATCATGTCTTCCTTGAACAACCAGAAACTGTGTTTTTATTCAAATGTGATGATCCCATGTTTTCGTGGAAATGTTGATTTGTATGTTTTTGTTTAGTTGATTTGCAATGTATTCACTTACACTTATTGCTGGTCCTTTCCTTTGGTAAATTCAATCATGCTATCTAAATAATTCATAAATCTAATTAACCTTGAGAGCAATTAAACGATTCATTTAAACTCAATAACTAGAATGCTATTAACTTGTCTAACCAAACAAACCAGCCTTAAAAAATACTGTACATCCTCAAGTTCTTCCTGTCCTAAACAAAGCTGACATAACGAATATAACGTGCTAAACGTTTGCCATGTTGCCCTTCTAACCTCTAACCTTTCAACTTCCAGATTGCTCTGTAACCTTTCTTAATGTGTCTTTTCTAAATTTCTTAAAGGGAACTTTGATAATGAGCGCCTGGCTATTGCTAGACAAAGAATCCCATACCGACTCGGTCGGGTAGTTGATGAGTGGCTACTTGACAAAGGTAATAAAATCCCTTTAATCCCACTAACAATCTAACCACCTAACCTACCGTTAACCACCACTCTGGAGGAGGTGCAGTGCCACACAACAAGGGGGAATTCGATTCGACTCTGAAACTAAAACCTCAGGTCCCCTGTAATTATTTTGTGATTTTTTTATTATCTGTACTTCATTCAAATTTAGGTCACTCTTAAAATCCATGTCTTTGTTTTGACATTCTACCTATTTTGGCTAAACTCACCACTTTAAGTTAAAAAACATTTCAGCACAAAGTGTTGAGTCCTAACACCGGTCATTGGTGTGGATATCCAGGGGACCGTGTCCGAAGCACCTTAACTTGGGTCTGCATCTCTTCAGAGAATTAACACCTAAATAACTTGACATAACCCCAAATAACCTGACCACATGGTAAAAGCTCACTGATTGCTTCTTTCCTGTGTATCTGTTGGCTGAATGTGAACGTGCACTGGTTATATTTAAACAGACAGCAAACACAACACTTTCTGGAGCAAAACGTCTCATAACGAAGTCACTAAAAGTTAAAGGGACTGTTGAAGCGTTTGCTGGACGGATCGTCCTGCACTCGCTGCAGCATTTTGGCACAATTTCTTGCTCGACCAACTGAAGCATAATTAGAGCTGCACATTTTAAATGTCACGAACGGTGACGAATCTTTAACCCTTTGAGTGACGAATGTTCCCACCCTTTGTATTTGACTGTGTTTGTGCTGCTGAAGGTGGTTGATTCTTAAAGTGATGTATTTTATAGGTAAATAGTACTTTCACACAGAGATATGGACATTTAAAACTCAGGGCTAATGACTAGTTGGATGAAAACCAGCAAATGAAATATTCATGGACCTGTCTGTTCTCCTCCAGGACAGAAGAAATGCTCCTCTACTGAGGGTAGATAGGAAATAAATCAGATGGGTAAATGCCACGGAGCAGAAATCAATTTTTTAAAAATGACATCCCATGGGATTATGGGATAATTTGTACACGGTGTGAAATGAAAAATGGATTCAAAAGGAATTTGTTTTCTTTTTTTACAATTTGAATTGAACCTGTATTATATTATGTTATATTATATACTGTATAAGGGAAAACAGTTTAGGCTTTGACATTCAACTGTTCAGCTGTTAAATTTTTCATCTTTACGATTCAGATAAGTAGGTTGAAGATTTTAGATGACATTTTGGTACAGTATAGTTCGATAATTAGGTGGATTAGTGGACATTTACGTGCTCAAAGGGTTAAAGTTTTGTTGCTCTGATAAGGGCGCAGCTAGCACCTAATGCTAAGATTTTTTTCTAAACAGAATCTAACCACCTAACAGCAAATCAAACTCTACCCACACTAACCACTGAGGGCTTCTCTCATTACTCCACACTTTCACAGTTTCGCATTTATTTTTAGGCATTCGGAAAGTCTTCCAGCTTTGCCCCGCTGGCAAAAAAAAAATCCAGAGAGCCCTCAGTTATAACCTTGTTATAAACAAAATTTTAAATTTGACTTGAAATTGGACCTGGATTATGACGCCATTTTGGAAGAACTTGAACAGGTTGCGGCGATCACTTGAAACAAAAACCTAAACAAAAAGCTAACTGTGTTCTAACCACATCTAAATGACAAAATCTAAGTCGACCTTTACCCCCTGTTTTGTCCTTGATGGTATGCCGAACTCAGAGGGTTAAAAACAGCAAATAACACCGACGTTTTTTTGTTTTGTTTTTTAAACATCAGTGGATCATTTTAACATCATTTTAATGATGTGTTTGAAAAAAGGTCCCTTTAACATTTATTGTTTTCACACCTTATATCAAAATGTATGTAATTGTACTGTTGTCCAACCATGTTGTGCTGAATGAATGGCGTGTGAACGTGATTCTTTTCACAGCCCGATGTGAAATAATGTGTATCGTTGTGGGGTTTAATGTTGGCACAAACTAATGTGCTGCAGTGTTCTTGACCAGAGAGAAAAACTATCAGCACCACGGGTCTCGGCGAGAAACTCAACCAGCATGAAAAATGTCCAGATGTTTTTCCATCACATTTCATGAGTACTACAACAGCGCTATTAATCCTGAGACATCTACTGTTAGTGGACAAAAAAAAAAAAGAAAATATCACTCCCCTCTCACAAAAGGAGTCCGTTAGTCACCATACAATTCCACAGCAGTCCCGAAACCTACAACGTCCTCCAGGGGAGCTCTGCTGTGTCACTGCATTACACTCCAGGGCCCTCACCCCATCTTTTCAATGGTGTGTTTGTGAGGCAGATCAGAGTAAACATCGCGGGCCAAATATGTCCCTGCTGACTAAATCCAAAATGGCAGCCATTACAGTGCAGGGAGGGGAGAAGAAAACAAATCCCAAAAGTTTTAAAGTACTCTGTCTGAGCCCAGACTTCAGACACTCCAAGATTCTCCAGTGTCTGACTCATCAAGAGGCTTAACTAGAAAGTAAAATAAAATGTAGTTTGTGCTGATAGCGGGCGAAGTAATTAGGCTTCTGAGAAGTGCTGCTTCATATGTTGCGGTGACAACTCCTGTCCCTCTGGAATTCTGCTACAGTACTCCTAGTGAAGCTGAGTTACAACATACTTGTTGGGGAAGAAAGGGAAAATACGAGAGCAGGTCTTGCGGGCTACAAAACAAGTAGCGTAGCCAGTTTCACTGATCAGTCTAATGGTCTGGCATGAGTTACTCCATCACCTGAGTGAACGCAATCACCCGCTCCCACTAGATGCAGACTGAGAGCACAAATCAACATCTCCAGGCTAGGAGTCGGTCCAGATATGCCCATCATGATCCCAGCTCAATTTACAATATTTCCCACGCATCCAGCCACATTTGACCAAGAGCAAAATCCTTTTAACCCACCTCACTTTGTCATTGTGAGCTAACTGTCCCACTCACTGTCCTATATCCTCCTGTGAAGTCACTGTATTATTCAAATACATTTTCAGAGAAGGTTGGAGAAAATATTTAAACCTTAACTCACAAGTGCTAAGTTGACAACCAAACATTTGTACTGTATTTGAAAAGAAAAAAAACATTGAAATTGTCATTAAGTAGCTTTAAGCTAGGTCAGCGGCTCTCAAACTTTTTATACTCTGTACCACCTGAAAAAACATTGAGCTCTCTGAGTACCACCATGACATGAGTACCACAACATTAGATTAGATGTTTCAGAGTTATCCAATTGAAAATGTAAATGTGAAAATATGAATTTTCCCCACGTACCACTAGAGAGTGCTACATACCACTGGTGGTACATGTACCACAGTTTGAGAACCACTGAGCTAGGTCATCAGTGAAGACAAATTTAAAGATCTACATACCGATAAGGGATCAGAGAGCTAGCCGCATCAGGTTAAACAGGACAGGTACATGTAAATAAATAAACAGTTAAAACTGCGACCAGCTATACCACGCCATCATTGAAGGATCATTAAATTTTCTAAATAAATACATCTTTTAGACTTTATTGTGTTAGTATCAGAGTCTGAATGACCTGTTGTTCTGGAACATTGTCAGATTATCTTTGAATGGAAAAAGTAAAGGGATATGACTGGATTCTTTTTAAATGAAGTAAATTAGTAAAACTGAAGTACATTTTTGCACTCTGTCCCACTATGGCCCCTTACCAAAAGACCTACAAACCGGCACCAGTACCCAGACCGGGGGTTGGGAACCTCTGGTCTAAAATATGGTTGTATTTTACAAAAGAGATATTAAAGCCCTTTGTGAGACGTACAGAGATGTTTGGCCACATTTTCAGGAGAGAAATACCAACATATATTCATACTGTACACCATGCAGTAAATTAACAATGGATGTACCCTCATTCATCCACTGGGGACTCATGAGTTCATCACTGAACATTCTCTGTCTCAAATAACCTAAGTAACTTTAAATTAGATGACGGGGATAAGTGTACGGTGGCTTCAGTCACGTATGTTACTAATTAACTAAGGCGTAGGCATAAGGTTCATTTATACTTTAAATTACTTCTACAGATTAGTGTAGGAAAGATATAAAGTCAGGACTTTCCAAAAGCAACAAAAACAGTTTGAGCTTTCATAGTTAATAATAATGAAATTGGTAAAATAATTGCTGTTGTATTTTATGTTAGAGTCTTGACTAAAGTTCTACGGAGAATGCAGTAATTTTATCAGAATCAAATGCCAATTGTTAATGCAAAGCTTACCTTAAAGTATCCATTACCAACTGGCAGCCCGTGGGCCAAATCTGGCCCACCAAACCGTTGCCATCTGGCCTGTAATTAGATTCGAAATCGTTAGGATCAGAGAGGTGATATCGTGTGGTCCCCACTATTAAAGCAGTTTTTTTTAATTAAATAACTATCATTTCTCACCATTTATGACTCAATTTTACAACCTACAAATCTAAATTTACAATTACAGAACTGTGATTTTTATTTCATTTTATTTGAGTGTCCAGCCCCAAGGTTTCTATCCTGAAAAATTCTAACCTTCCGACAAATATAATCAATGACCCTTGCCTTAAAGAGTAGATGCTAGCCTGTTTGTACTGTATTTTGTTAGTTAGCCCAATTAGGTTCAATAAGAGAATAAATGAGGTGTCAATCAAAAGGACATTGATGATGAAATCACACCAGGTAAATACGTATCAATTATGTTCCCTACCTAGATGTCTCTGTCCTCGAATGCTCTCATGGACCGTGGATCTCTCCACTGCCTCACAAAGGGTTTTAGTCTGACTTCACGCTACGGTTGGCCACTCATCTCAACTGTCAAACCCATTTAATTCAGCAGTCTTCGAAAATCAACCCCAAGTAAGGAGAGTTGAAAGCAAACTACACATAATTACAAAAGAGAGACCCTTGTGCTGCAAAGATAACCGAGGGGACACTTCTTAATCGACTCTGTCAGCGTCTTACCCCACCTCACCTTATTGTGAGCTGGAGTTGTCTTTGACTTCTTCTTTCGTCTTTATTCTTTGTTACTCCTTGGCCG